TAACAATATAAAGCACTGTGAACAGAAGCTGCATATCATGACCCTAATCTTGAAAAAAAAAGTCTCCTTATCCATGTGCTTCATAATAAGCAAAGTCATTTGGCTTTGGTAAGAATTACTGTAGTAGTGTCTGTTAGTCTGAATTTTAGAAGTGAAATAGCTCAGTGTTAACATCTTGGCTCACATGGCTCACATTAATTCTATAAATGGTACTTGTACAAAGATTTTAAAGCTAGTCTAAGCAAATAAAAAGAAGTATGCTTTTAAGTGTGAGACTTTGAAAAGCCTTTAGAGAGACTGTTAACCTTTATAATCAGGTCAAAGTCAAGTCTCTTCTGATTTTTTAAAAATCATTTATTTTTATGCTGAAAAGCTGTCATTCATATGGGGTGTTTTAATGCTGCATTTGAAGTATGTAACTTTTTGATTAAATTAATTAAATTGTCTTTTACTTCTGTGTGGCTTTTTTTTGTTGACAGGTGTGTTGCAGGTCTTTATATGGTACAATAAACAGCTCTCACAACTGATAGAAAATTAGTAAGGTCTCATAATTAATACTTGATTATTGCTATTGCTGCTGTGTATATGGAAAATTAATACATTGACTTACCTTTTCCTAGAAGAATATTGATAAAGTATATATTCAGGATGCAAAATGGACATAACAGTTGATGACTGTGGAGCAAACGTTTTTCTTTCATTTATTTTTCAAGTGGCAGCTTTGGCATCAGTCCTGTGTGTACATATTAAAGAGAAAGCAATTCCTCTCTGGCATTAGATACTAGCTTCAATGGCGGCAGCAGCAGCAGCAGCAGGACAACAAGCAGTCTGCCTACACAGAATGAATTATAGAGTCAGAGCCTTGTATTGCAAGTTAACGTTGCTGCAGAGTCCTCAAAGCGCAGGATGATATTTTACCTGGAAGAGATCGTCCATGCAAGACACTGGCAAATACTGTGTCTAACATTAGAACACGCTTTGCTTTCCTGTAGTTGAATTCATATAAACGTTCCTCAAAACTTTTTGCATCTGTTCACAGTCTGTGCATATCTAGTATTCAGAAGATGAAGGCTGTGACCAAATTGAAGCCCTAATTTGAGTTCTTTCCATTTTCATCACTGCAGTTAAGACTAGTTACCTCTGTTCTGGCTTTTAAAATACCATGTTTGCCTTTGCTAGTTACTAGTTAACTAGTAACCTCTGTTTCTTCTAATCTGAGAAGTATTTTTCTCCTGATTTACCTGCAGGTGGGATCTTCTTTCACTGGGATAAAGTGGAACACCTGTTTTTACTTGTAGTGATGGAGAGTAGTGATGTGAGTAGTGATGGAGAAGATGTTTAAATTCGCATCTGCAGGAGAATGTATCTTATAAAATAAGCTGACAGAGTACATGCTAGATAAGAGGACAGTGAGATGGATTGAAAACTGGCTGAACAATTGGGCCCAGAGGGTTGTGATGGGTGGCATGAAGCCCGGCCAGAGGCCGGTCAGCGGTGTTGTGCCCTGGGGGTAGGTACTGGGGGAAATACTACTTAATATCTTAACAGGTGGCCTGTACAGTGGGACAGAGCTCACCCTCAATGAGCTCACCCTCAGCAAGCTTACAGGTGATACAAAATGGGGAGGAATGGCTGATACACCAAATGGTGCCATTCAGAGGGACCTGGATGGGCTTGAGGAGCAGACTGAGAAGAATCTCGTGAAGTTCAACAAAGGGAAATGCACAGTCCTGCCTGTGCAGGGAAGAGACCCCAGGCACTGGCACCCACTGGGGAACAACTTGCTGGAAAGATAGGTAGCAGCAAATGTTATACTTGTGGCTCAGATCACGGTGGTGTTTTAGACTGTATGTAGAAAAATTATTTTTATCTTCTGCTTCTTCATTTGCATTGTCTGAATATTAGGTTATGCAGTCAAAAATAGACTATACATACATTAAAATACAGATCAAGTTTTTATTTTTGTATGACAGAATTTATTAGAAAATAAATGTAGAAATTGTCCTCCTTGTTTTATGTATTTATAGTAATGTTCTTTTTCTTCCTTTTTCTTCTTTGGTCTTAACATATTTGTTTAAAAAAACCTGTGTGATTTTTAGTCGAGATTTTGTAGACCAGTATGTTAGGAGTCTGGATTTTATATATAACTTTTTATATAGCCACATACTGGATTATTTATATTGCAGCTTCTGTACCAAAGGATAAAACTAACGTGTGAATTTGCCTCCTTTTTTAAAAAAAATAAAAATCTTCATATAGGACTTTGGTCAAGTAACTTCTTTGCTCAGGACCTCCATTTCTTCATCAGTTGAAAGAGTGCAAACATACTTCTTGTTTTCCTTAGTATTGATTCTTGAGATTTGTACTATAAAGATGTTTTATGTTGAAATAGCTTCTACTTGACTTGTAAAACTGTCTAATTTCTAGTTGACAGTGTCCTGTGTTGAACATAGATGAAAAGCTTCCTTTGTATGAAATATCTGCGTCTACCAAGTTTACTTTTCTCAAAGTACTTTTAATCACAAGGCTAACTGAGATAATCTAGATAAAACCAGAAGAAATGGTATTGATTCATATGAGTGATAAGCAAGGAGTTAATTTCGAGAATATTATTAAATTCTGTGTTTGTACAGAAAAACAAATGGCACTCTAAGTGCTTACTAACAGTAAAAACCTCTTATCTGTGATTTTCTGATATTTATAAAGCTAGAAGATACTGTTCCTCTTATTATTGATTGTTCTCACTATATCTGACAGAAAATAGTCCAAATCTTCTTCACATAAGTATTAATAGCTACTTTAACTACTGTTTTTTTGAGGTTAAAACCTACCTTTTGTGATAATGTTATGGTCAAACTTCTGTAAAGCCTACTAGTAATGAGATGTTGTAATTTAAGGAATGAGCTTGCACAGTAATGCTCTTCAGCTCTTGTCTGTTCAGAGGTGATTATTTTTCCCTGAACCTCAGTAAAAAGGATCAGAATTTGTGCCACAGCTCTAATTTATTTTTTGTCCAGCTTCTTAGGTAGCTAATGGTGCGTCAGCTAAGTTAATTTGGAAAGTGATTGCTGTCTTTGTGCATGTTTAGAGTCATAGAATCATTTGGTTGGAACAGACCATCAAGATCGAGTCCAACCATTCGCCCTGCACTGTCAGGGTCCCTAAACCATATTGCTTAACACCAAATCCACATGGTTTTTAAACACCTCCAGGAATGAGGACTCCGCCACCTCCCTGGGCAGCCTGTTCCATACTTCACAACCCTCTCTGTAAAGAAATTTTTCCTGATATCTAACGTAAATTTCACCTGGCGTAACTTGAGGCCATTCATTCCCTCTTGTCTTGTCATTCATAATATGGGAGAAGAGACCGACCCCCATCTCCCTACAACTTCCTTTCAGGTAATTGTAGACAGCGATAAGGTCCCCCCTGAGCCTCCTCTTCTCCAGACTAAACAGTCCCAGCTCCCTCAGCCGCTCCTCATAGGACAAGTTCTCTGACCCCTTCACTAGTTTTGTTGCCCTTCTCTGAACCCGCTCCAGCACCTCAACGTCCTTCTTGAAGTGAGGGGCCCAAAACTGGACACAGTACTCCAGGTGTGGCCTCACCAGTGCTGAGTATAGGGGGACAATCACTTCCCTGCTCCTGCTGGCCACACTGTTTCTGATACATGCCAGGATTCCGTTGGCTTTCTTGGCTGCTTGGGCACACTGCTGGCTCATGTTCAATCGGCTGTTGACCAGCACCCCCAGGTCCTTCTCTGCTGTGCAGCTTTCCAGCCATACTTCTCCAAGCCTGTAACACTGCAGGGGGTTGTTGTGGGCGAACCGCAGGACCCGGCACTTGGTCTTGTTGAACTTCATACAGTTGGCCTCAGCCCTTCGATCCAGTCTGTCCAGGTCCCTCTGTAGAGCCTCTGAAGTCCTTGTTGCTGGATCTGCTGTAAAACCATCTGGAGCAGAACTGAGCCTGTGTCCCTCAAGATTTCCTTCTCTTCCTCAGCTTTTGTTTATATCTCCTGCATTTTTAATTTAGGCCATTTTGATACAAAGGAATGTGAGTGAGCAGATTGTTATTAACAAGGATTCTTTTGGACAATAAATCCTGATATTTGCTGTGTAGGATTGAGTGCTTTAAATTTAAACATATTAGGAGAGGAATCTGTTATTTATCTGTAAAGTAGTAGTCTTACCCATTTGTACTCCCGAAGTACAAAAAAGTTTTGCATATAGGAATTGGAACAGGCAAAGTTCTTACATGTGTTAAAAATCCATATCTCAAGTCTCATGTAAGCACAGCTTGCAGACTGTAAAGGCATACGTGAAAGCAGGACTTCTTTTTTTCCCCACTGCTTCTGCTTGTCCTTTTTCAAGCACTCTATTACTCTTGCCATTGCTGGTCTTTCAGATGGTTTATAAAACTGAAGGTGTCGTCTGATTTATGAATGGAGGTGTTCTGGTTTTAGTAGCTGGGACGAAACAAAGTCATATAGTCTAAGTCCCTTCAGTGTCTCTTTCCTCACTGTACTGAGACAAATATTTTTCATTTATTTGTGCTGCAAAATAGTTTTGGAAATTCTGTGCAGAATGAATGTTGTCTTAAGGTGTTTCCTCTTCGGGTTTCTTTCTGGTCTAAATACATTGAGAGGTAAACTCAGTGGAAGGGTATGACATGCAGTGGAAGTTGGATGGCTTACAGATCATCCTTGGCACTCCAGAAAATCCTTTGGCTGCCTGTACTTTTCAATAGTTGCATGTATTTTATTACTGCACAACTAGTACAGAATAAGGAGAGAGAGAAGACAAATGTGTTTGGAGTAACCATCTCCTGGGTTAAGATAAGGCACCGTGGGGCACTGAAGTCACTGAAAGGAGTTTTGAAAAGAAGGGGAGGGTGGTTCCCGGCTTCAGTCTGGGAGTGGGATTTGCACTGACGTATGTTCCTTGAGTCAGGTTCATGATCCTGTTCCCACTGCTGTTAACATTTTTTTGCTGTTCCAGGCTAAACTATTTATTCTGCTGTCTGTCGTCTGTGTTCTGCTGAACCTGACTGGATTTGTGTTAGGATGTCAAAGCATTCGGTTTATGTCCAGTGTACCCAAATGCCATTCGGTGAGCAGACGTACTGATTTACATGCATTTCTTCACGGCGTGCCGCATAAGCTTGCTGTGCTGTGATCACAAAATGTGCTAATGTAGAGATGCTAGTAACGCAGCTACAGCGTGGCTGGGGAAAAACAGAAAACCCTCTGTTTCAGGCTTTGATTCAGTTCAAATAGTGAACAGACTCATTGAAATCCACAACAGTATTTTTATTCTGTGTGTTCCTAAACACTTGGGTTTTTTGAGTTGAGGTTCAGCTCCTAAATCTGAGGACCCTGACAGGATGTGTTTTGAATGGCTTTACTCCTCATTAGAAGAGCATATTTAGCCCAGAAATGGTTTTGTTTGACTTCATTGAGAGCTGGCCTCCGTCTTCAGGGTGTGAAGACATAGCTGATATAGTACAAGGCTTTCTAGACAATTTTATGGGGTCACGTAGGAGGGGATCCCAAATATATCTTTGGAAAATCCCTCTTGCCAGCATTATACACTGATTTTAATATCATAGTAATTTAAGAACTAGCATAAAGGATTTTTATAATAATGTGACAAAGATAAACTTTGAAAAAAGGCTGAGTGGGTACTGGTGAGCTACCTACAAAAAGCTCAGTCAGTATAATCTGTGGGTGGGATTATTTTTCCTGGTTTGCCTCACCTGGTGAGGACAAATTGTGTGGATACTTTACAGCAAGAACTGTGAGGAAAAAATTAAGGTAGATGAAGTCATACTAGCTTTTCAGAACACTTCTACTGGAGAAGGAAGCAATCTGCATAAGAAAGGACAGAATACAAAATATTTTTCTCAAACGGGTGTCGTAAGAAGTAGAAGAATGTAGAAGTAGAAGGTGTATTGCAGTGAGAGTCCAAGATTACAAGTACTGAGAACTGTTACAGTTATTCCAGATGAGATGGTTAAATGTTTCAGGAATTTCAAAGCCCTCTTGTTGGAAGCGTAAGGTACAGCTGAAAGGCATTCGTGAAATAATAAATTATTCTGTAGGGGGTTTATGTAGGTGGAAGACCTTTGACACTATGACTCTCTAGAGTTTGACAGCTAAAAAGCCAATTATCTCTAGATACGGAAGCATTTATTTCTACTTGAAAACTGAGACAACATTAATTTGAAAGTTACAAAAAATAGCATTGTACAGATGTAACTATTACTGATTTGTGTAGGTTGAAATTACAGTTGTGGGTTTCATTCCATCCAAAGAGATGCAAGATACACTCATGAATCAAAGAAAACCTGTACACTCCATATAGAGTGGCTTACACATCAACGAATGAATTTCCAGGCTGCTATGCATTTGAAGGCACGGATACTAAAATTGCTTACTAATCAGTGCAGCTTTGATTACAACTAAGTTGTGTTTAAATGTCTTGAGGTTATCAGTAATGCTTGCTTTCAAATAAGAAGTATGTATAATAGAGCTTTATAGTGCCTGAATTGTTGGTGTACCAAACTGCACAAATTTCATTTTATGAGCTTGTGTTTCCCATCTGCTTTGCAGTCAGAGGTATGGTTTGAGACACAGGCTCTATGCTACGCAGGCAAAAATGATGTATAGAACAGCGGTTAAGTTAAAATGTGGAGTTTTGTGTTTTTATAGGTGGGTGCAAATGAAGAGAGGATTTGTTTCTGCTGTGAAGAACATCTTGATAAATGCACAGAAAAGACTGCGCTGAAGCTACACCACATAAAGTCGTGCAGTATTGCTCACTTCCTTCTCAAGGTACCCTGCTTTGATAATGTCCACACTTGTGTGACAGTGCAGCACTGAGGTGACTGCTGTGTTCTCTGTGAAAAATTCCGTGATTTTCTGATCTTCCACACTGATCAGAAGCTCTTTATGGTTCTATAACAGGATTTTTTCTTTTTTTCCTCATCTCTGGGTTTTGACCAGTGCGTTGCTGATCCAATATGCAGTTCTTGTCCTTTCTGTGTTTTATGCAACCAAAAGTACAGTTGAATTCAGACAAGATTGCATGGGTAAATGTCGTGTAAATTTTAGCTAATGATTTGATGCCTTCAGTGGTTCTTTTGATCTTCCGAGCCTTTCTTACACACTGCTAAAATACAACTTCCAAACAGCATAATCGTCAAACATAAAAGTGCTTTAACCTTTTCTTAATGGTGATTATCTCACATTTGGATTTCCCACAGAAAAGTTAAGAGGAAGGTTATAGTTCTTGGATGAATAGTTGGTCTGTAAATCACATCTGAGCAGTATTAAACCCTTCTGGATCTCTCTGTCAGGATACACAGTAGGGCAAACCAAGCTTTTGCAAATTACTCCAGTCTTGGAGATTACCTGTCCTGAAGACTTCATCACATGTGTTTCTAAGATGTAATTGTCATGGTCATCCTTGTGTTTTCTATAGTTGTTTTTTTTTTTTTTTTTAGTTTTTTATTATTATTATTTTGACATGTACAAATGCCTTGATTTAATCTGTTAATTTTCAAAATCTTCATGTTCTTCAGAAAGTTTTCTTTGGTCTTTGTGTCCTGAACGGCCTCATCGTCACAGTTTCCTTGATAACGACTGCCCTGCGTTACTTACGGTCTTTTCCAACAAGAAGACCAGACCTAGTAAGTGAGTGCAAGGCGTTGCCTGCTATAAAAAAGGGGCACTAACAATGTTACTAGATTACACAGTTCAGCAATTTTTCATATCTCTGAAGGCTTTTAACAGAAGTTTCCTTTCATTAGCATGACTCTCAGGTTGAAGACCAAGGTCATGTTTTGGATCCTCATGGTTTTGTCCCATCTGTGCAGCCTGCCTCCTGTTTGGCAACTCTGTCTTCTTGTAGTCCACAGATGAGTTGCAGGTAAACCTTTACACTCTCTTCCTTTCTTTTAGTGGCTTTAGAAACATTCCACAATCTTAGTCCTTTTTTTCAGGTCATTTCTCTGTTATTAACTGAAAAATGTTGGTGACTTCAGGAAAAAAAGAAGGAAGAAAAAAACCTGTTGAGTTGAGAGGCAGTGTAAATAAGTGCAGATGAAAGGTATTATGTGTGGTTTTCACTTTAGATTTTGTAGGAACTGTTTCTTGGTAAGACAAATATGGCAATTTGACATGACTGAAAACTTTTATGATGCTGTCAGGAGCAGGTTGGGGCAGTGAGAGAAAGCCAGGCACAACCCCGTGGGAAGGCTTGTGTGAAGGACTCCAGAATGATGGCCTGGGCCCTCGCAGACCTCTCTGCCAGAGGGATTCTCCTTCTCATGGCAGGGTACGTTTTGATTGTGCAGCCAGGCCAGGTAATCAGGGCCCTTATCTTGGTACTGGGGAGTGAGCGATCAGGCAGTGCCTGCACCTGGTGCTACTGCTGGGCTTCTCTGTGGGTGGAGGAGGAGGAGTGAGAGTGAACATGGGAGGATGAGTTCATGTACCAGAAAGAAAAGGAAGATAGACACGAGTTACTGTAATCTCTTCCTGCTCTCCTGTTTTTAAAATTCATTACTACAAAGATGGGGGGGAGAAAGATCCTGAGTAGGACAAAATAATAGCTGTATGAATTTTCTCGTGAGCAAGAGAAAATGTGCAGAAAACTTTTATGTTGCAGAAGGCTGCTTTCCTTGTTGTAATTAATCTTATGAAACATTAAAATGTAAATTTGGTGGGGTGGTGAGGTTGTTTTTTTTTTGTGTGTGTGTTGTTTTGAAGAAGACTAGGGGTGAATATCGTGTAGCTTGTCCATTAAGTATCAACTCATTTTGCTGTACTGGGACTTATTAGTGTCTATATTTCTTGCAATTCAATGGTGACTTGTGGGTTTTGTTATCCTTCGTTTTACAGGTGGTTATACACTTTTCACAGTAACTTGCAGGTCAGCTTTGCTTATTAGTTTGACTCAAGTGGGGCTGCACTATTCTGCTGTGAACACGCAATGTTTAGACATGAAATACAATGATGCTCAAGCAGGCTTTTTCACTCTACCTGTGTTTAAAACTCCTGGTTTTTGCAGTGTGCAGGACTGTTTGGTTTATTTCACTGTTTCATCAGGAATAACATGCATGACTTTCAAGACTCTGTGGTCCTCGTAGAGGTAATTACAGATCCTGGGATTACCTAGAAAATGGTAATATGACACAGGAACAGATTTTAGTCTTCTAAAATGCCAAAGATCGGGGTTGAATTCCAAACATTACTAAAAACCTCTTATGTGAGCCTTGGTTCAAGCTGGTTGTGAGAACAGAACGGTGTCCTTAATGATCTCTTCAGAAGATCAGGTATTTGTAGAAACAGGCTTGTCACAGTTCCCCTGCTTTAAAATGAAGCTGTCGTTCTTTGTCTGGAGTGTCATTCTACATGGTTGCCTCCTTCCCAGCAGCACTGCTTCCCTTTGCCTGTTTTCAGCACAGTCAGGTCTGCTGAACAATATTTAAGGCTGCTATGATCTAATATTGCATAGCTGCCTTGCCTGTGACTGTGTTAAAACTTGTTGATAATAATATTTAAGTGATGGCAATGCCTTTCTAAAGTCAGGCTACTTGTTTCAAGGTGCTCAGGGTAGTCACGCAGCAGTGCAGAAGTTAAAGCATCAGGCAGGCTTAATTTCCATTCTCGGCAGAAGAAGACATACGGCTGGCCCCAGGCAGCACCCATTGTCCAGCACCGTGGCCGAGGTGGGACCTGGCCTTCTCTTGGTCAGCACCATCACACTCCTCCTTCCCCTCCCTGCCCGTTCTGTGCGCTGAATGCCACGCTGCCTTCGTGGCCTGGATTCCTGTGCCCAGCTCCCGCGGAGCCCACATCCAAAGCGTTTTCTTTGTGCAAAAGGGGAGTGAAAGGAAGTTTAATTCTTCGGTTTGTTCATTTGTTCCTGGGAAAGCTTTTGCGTTTGACTTATTCAGCGGTAGACAAAACAAACTAGCGTTACAGATGTCTGGTCAAGTCCTACCCCTAATCTTGCTATTTTGTAGACACGGAAATAGCAATTAAGTTATTTTTTGCGATTGACACAACAGCGTTAACAGTTACACCTGAGCTCCCGCCTGAAGAATGAATACAATGTGTTATAAGGCACCCGAATTTAAGGGAAGAGTCAATCCATGTGGGGCAGCAAACCATCTCCTGGGGTCTAGAAATCTGCTCCAGTCCAGTTTAAAGTACCATCCAGGGACTAGAGGTATTTGCCAAATTGCAAGTCTGCTTATCCAAGTAGTATATTGTCAGATTCAGTATGTGTCTCAAATTGGACCCATATGCTGCTGACAGTTGTTTCTTAACCACTAAACGTGCTTCTGCTTTTGAAACACTGAAGTTTTGGAGAGGCCAAAGTCTGGTGGTGTTGCTGAGCTGAGGTACAAGTGCAGAACGTGGGCAAGAGGTGGCCAAGGATGTGCTTTCCCCCTTGGCTGTCCTGCTCACCTGCAGCAGTACAGACCCTCCCCACCACCAGGAGCTGCCTTGGGGCAGTGGGGTTCCCTGAGAAAGCTTTGACTCCTGTTCCTTACCTTGCTGTATCGTCACTTCAAAAAGCTGCTGGCTTTTTGACTAACAAGAGGATTCAGCTTGCTTAGATAAAACAAAAAAAAAAAACAACAACCAGTGGCAACTAAGAAATAAAGAACTGATCGACGAACGTGCACATCCTGGAAGTGAGTTTTACATTAAAGGATTTAAGGGAATGCTTTTTTGGTTGAATGTTACATAGTAAGTTTTAACATGATATAATTCTTGGATGCAACATTAAGTTTCAAGGTGTGACTGAGCTGGGTAGGCCATGTCAGGCATGTTTAAAACCAAAACTGAGGTTCAAGAAGTATATTATTTTTGTGGCCTACATTGAATGTAAACTCAGCACGAATGAACTGGAAAAATGTGAAGAAGTGATGTCAATGGAGCATCAGTCTCTATTGTGCTCCAAAATTATTCTGAAGCTTTTAGGGCCAGATGAAATAGGCTGAAATTAAAAAAGCATTTTAACATGTTGTATTTCCCCCATTTTTAAGATTAAAAAAGTAATGACCAGTTATCAAAATCTGTTCTTTCTTTTCCTGGAATTTCTCCATGCATTCCCTCATTACCTTGACAGAAGCCTTTTGCAAAAGTGCTCCCAGTTCTCTTTTTGGGTTCTTTTCCTCTGTAAGCAGCCTTCCACAGGCATTTCCATTCACTCTACCCTTTCCTCTCAGCCTGCAAGAAAATACTTTTCACAGTCATCTTCGTTCCCTCCAGCTGCCATCAGAGAAGCCCTGAACTCTAGGAGGAAGGGCTTGCTCTTCTGTAACATTTATTTGTAGAGAGATCACATCCACCAGTGATAGCTGTAAGCCTGGCATGGGTCTAGAGAGCAAAGCACGTGGACTTCTGTGTGTTGCTTGAGGTTTCTGCTCAGTACCAAATCAGCAGTTTAGAATGTAATAAAAAGCAGAGAAAAATTGAGACGCTTTGGGTCACGGGCATCTCCAAAGATTGTGTGTGGAAGGTACCCTTGGCAGCTCTGCTCTTGACCACCACGCCTAGTTCCAGTGTTAATGGGGTAACATAAACTTATGTTACCAAAATATGTGTTTGCCAAAAAGAGTTTCTCCAGGCACTGTTCTGATTTATTCCCTCAGAGCTACCTCCTAACAGGAAGATGATAGAGCAAAAGAAATCCCAAAATCTGCTGTATTTAAGATTTCAGAGAGCTCTTTGAAAACTGAGACGTAAGGTTAACCGTGAGATACGTTTGCCTCATACAAGCCTGCGTGAACTGATCAACTATAACATTCCTAGCCAAGCATCATCACAAAAATAGCCTTTAGTTTGGGTTTGCCTCTTTCTGTGCAGCTGTATCTGAACATAAAACATGAGATCAGAGGTATTCTAGATTTCCGTTATAATTAGGAATTTGGTAGTTCACAAAAATCAGAGCTAGACTATCACATCTTGAATGACCACCTGTATTTGAATCTCATGAAATAAAACTGAATGTCTGTGAAGTAAAACTGAAATGGATTCCTAGGTGCGGTACTGCCCCAAAATGTTTGAAGCTCCAGTGAACAAATTGGAGAGGCACCTCCTAAGGAGCAATTTCCTGCTCTCTTCTGGGAAAATCTCTTGCAGCTCTTGTCCAGTTCATTAGCTGTGACTGAGATCCCACAATCTGAGCTGGCAGGGGAAAGCCAGTGGCGTTTGGTAGCTGATGTTTTTCCGCAGCTGGAAGGCTGTATCAATGGAGTTGCTTGGTGTCGTTTGTTGCAGGACACGTAACTCCAGTGTGATTCCATCGCCTCCTTGTTGTAGAGTGAGAATCAAATACGCTCAGGTGTTCTGCCCTCTGGTCCCACCTCCTCCTTACAAAGCTGTGCGGAGTCTGAACAGCTCTGAGCAGGTATGGCCCACAGGAGCTCACGGTCTTTTTCTGCTATAAAGGTAAGGTTGCACTGAGGCAGGGTAAACATACCTCAGGGATCTGTTAATTTCAGAATACCAGGAGGATATGTTTTGGTTACAAATGTGGCTTGCTGTAAATTTCACTGAAGATTTTAATTAGTCACTTACTTTTAGAGTTGAAAAGTTCTCCCCAGTTGGAAAATGGTGTCTGAGCATGGGAGGAGGAACAAAACACACTGTGGTTATTCTAGAGGACCCCTGTGCTGCCTCTGTGCTTTACTTCCCTTCTGCACCTGTACCTTGCCATGTGGGACTAGGTCAGGGTTTTGCCATGCTCACTGATCCCTTTCCACTCACTGGTGTTTTCAGAAGACAGGTGCTTCTTCCCAGAAAATACTCAGCAGGATAAAATTGGCTGACCCGGATGATGAACATTATTTTTAGACATTCACTGGTCTTGGTTTTGCAGTGGAATTAAACGCTATCACATAGTCCCAAAGGACTGTGCAGTTAAGCAAAAGCATCTGCTTTTTAAGTTGGATGTTGCAGTTCTTAGAAAGTACTAGAAAAAAGATGGTGGCTTGTGATTTTTCAACTTTCCTATTTTATTCCAGGAAGGTGAGCTACAAACAGGTGTTGTGGAAGTTCTTGATTTGGGGAAAGCAAGAGACAGGCAGGCCTCTCGAGGTAAGAAATACACTTTAAAATTTGTTCCAGAACAGTTCTACTCAACCCAGATGACTTAACCTAGCAGGAACATTATTATTTCTTTGAAAGACAGCCACCACATTGCAATGTAGAGATACAGAGTCGTGATTGTTTTGAGTAGTAGGAATGGGGATTAATGTTTAAAATACGTAAAAAGTTGTTGCTCTTAAGATACAAAAAGAAAGATACGTTTTCTTCTTCGTAATCTTCAAGTTAGTTGTTGACTATGTCCATACGTTGTAAGAAAAGATGTCCAGCTCCAGTGCTTCTATTTGTTTTGTTTATGTGATGGTGCCTGTTGATATTTTGTGCTGATAAGAAAAGGATAAAATAATGCTGGACTGCGTTGAGCTAAATGGGAGAATTACTCTATTATTCAGCCTGCACTGGAAGAATTACTAAGTAGTTTCTGCATACTGGTACAGGACATAGCCAGACTACTCATAGAGGCCACATCAAGCTTTGCTTTATATAGGTTGTGTCACTGTTTCTCCTCTTCATCTCTTCAGAGATGCTAGGTTGCGTTTGTGTAGAAGACAAGGTGCTACACTCAACCAGTATGTATCATCCAAGCCTTAGTTTTGTTGAACGCTCCAGTCACTGTCACATTCGTGTTGGAGTAGCAGCACAATTTCCCGTGTTCTGAATAAGAAACTGTTTACCTTAATTTGTTGTTTTGGTCTTGCATGAGCAAGAACTTTGTTTCCTGTAATATGCCAGGTGCCATCAGATGGAGGTACAGAATCGAGCTTGGTGACAAATACATAGTTTCATCCTGTCCTGTTCACTAAAAGGTGTTTGTGGGAATCACGGCATATAATTTCACCCTGAGGAAAGGAGGAAAGTTGGTTAATTGGGAAGATGAAACACATCACAAGAATTCAGGAAAATCTTACTTTTAATAAAGAACCTTGTGAAACAAGCTTTTTAATTCCCTTACAGGGACTGGTGGTTGATTTACAAGCTACCTAATTGCAGACAGTGACTGAACTCTGTGACCATATGCTGTCATAGCTTGGTACAACTGCTTATATGTAGGAGGATTTCGGGCTCTCTGAGATTTAGTTTTCTCTCCAAGAAAGCTGTAGCTCCGTGTCTCTGATCAGGTCGTTTAAGCTGAGGTTTATACTAGGCAAAGCTGTATTTTTTTGTTTGCTACTCTAGTTGCATAAAGCTGAACAGGTTTCTGCAAATGTTTAAGCAGGCTTTAACCAGCGTTACTGGTGAGTGTGGGCGTATGCACAGACAGGGACATCTCTAGGCTCTTGTGTCCAATCATTACAGCTTTGAAGGGGGGGGAAGGCACAAAAAAAAACCCGCAGTAATAATCTCTAGTAACAGCTTCTACAGATCTGCTTTATTCTGACTGCTTTTCCTTCACCTTTATTATTTCCAATTACTCAGATGAAGAAATTCCTGCGTCTTCCAGCAGAGTGAGCCTTTCACCTTCAAATGCAAGCCTGGTGCCTGCAGAAGGAGCGCTCAGGAGAGCCTTCAGTTCCTTGTGGAAATGTTCTGAAAGTGACCTGGTGCTGCACTGCTGGATGCTTGAAGGTGACTTGATTTTTCTCTATTAATGCTTATGTAATGAGTCCTTAAAAGATCATTTGTCAGAAGGTTAGTACCTTGAACCCAGTACCTGCAGAAATCGGCTGCTGTCTCCCAACAGGGTACCTATAGAACAGCAAAAAGTCTGTGTTTTGCCAAATCTCCACCCAGCATCTTAGTCTGGCAGCTCTTCAGGCTTTCACATCCAGGAGCAGGGTCTGTAGCAGGCACTGCTGGTTTGGGAGGGGGCAGGGCTGGTGGAAGACAAGAAGGAGGGAGCACATAGGATTTCTCAGTGTATTTGCGCACTAGCATCTAAAAGCTTGCCAGGGCAGTTGTCAATGTGAGCAATTTAAAGCAAAATTAGCTTGGCTGTTTGGTATTAGCCTATAAATTTGCACCCCTTTTCTCACTCCTCATAGCATCAAAAAAAAAAACAACACAAAAAACCCACAGTGGAGAGCTGATGAAGTCTCTTGCAGCTACTTTGGTGTCAGTCAATCAGAGTCCTTGATTCTGTTGACAGTCTTAAAAATCCACTGGTCAAGAGCCTTGCATTTATTAGAGGATATTGGAATCCCTGTAGTAGCTGCTGATACATATTAGCATTCACAAAATGTAAGCGAGGAGAGGGTGTGTTAGTAACAACCATTTATTTTGAACATTGGGAGCATGACTATCTGTATTATACTTACTCTTTTGTGGAATGTTTTCGTGTCTCTGCTACATCATGTGTTTTCCCTTTTCCTCCCATCAACTTCCAGCACAAAACCCCAGAGAATCTGCTGCTGAAGCAATAGTTACATGGCACAGAGCCTATTCGTAGCTGTGAAAGTGGAGCAGAGCGTTTCTGCTGCAGAGAGGCTCCATCAGTCAGAAGCATTTGGGAGCTTCAGGCTCAATGTGACTGCGGCTCAGCACTGGACCTAAGGGTCAAATACATGAGTGCTGCTCAGAAAGGGAGCTCAGCTGCAACAGAGCAATGCAAGTTGCTTTGAGTTAGTTAGCACTCTTCTTGCTAGAAAGTTTTGAATCTCTTCCTGGTATTGTTGTGTTTGGCATAAAGCCAACATTGAAGTGCTTTTTGAACGACCTCTAAATGCTCTTATTTACTTTTTTTTTTTTTTTTTTAACAGGGCCAAAAATCGATTATTATTATTTAGACCAAAGGCAGTGGATTTTTGTCTGGACCAGAGGTAGTGGAATTGATTCCCTACTGCCTCTTTTTCAGTCCTTGCAAGGTAATTTTGATTTTTTTTTTTCCCATTAAATTTCCACATTGTATCCAGCTTGACAAGTAATTATTTTCAGGTATTTTGTGACTAGCCCTCTTGACAGGTAATAACTGAAAGTTACAAAAAGTTCAGAAGACATCATAAAAACCTTCAAGCTTCGCTTAACCTGCTTTGTGCAACTGTGCGTTGACATCAACACCCAACACCCATTTGAGGTCTATTCAGAACAGAAGCAAAAGAGAAAAGAACCGATGTACACAAAATGGCAAACAGCTTTCCCAGAAATGTCCCTCCAGACCCTACGAGACGTGATTTACACTCCACCGTAGCTATGTGCTGCTCTGTTTTACAGGCGTTTTCTCCAGCGTAAATCCCATGCAGAGCGAGACATGCGTGCTGCCCTGACCGTGCCAGAGGATTAGGTTTTACGTGGTTAAATTGTGCACTGCGTCATCGCTGAATCAGCACTGAAATCTCAGGGGACACTCGTTGAACACTGCTGTGAACCAAGGGGGTTATTTGCTTTGTTTGGTCCTTGTTTTCAGGGGCGGCTGTCAGCTGTGAAGGTGCAGTGCAGACTGAAGTAAAAACACAACTCTGTGTGGTCACCTTGCAGAAGGGTTTGAGAGCGAGAGCTTTGAGGGGAAGACCTCAAACTTTGAGAGATGGCAAGCCTGACACCAAGATTAAACAGATTGTGATGTGGATCCTACTGCAGTCCTCCTGCGGCGTGAGCCCTGACATGCTTGAATTGGTGGAAAATATCAAGTCTGTTTTGGAATCAATTGAGAAATGTATGGCAGGAGCTACCACCGGTGCCACCTCCCTTGAGCTTGTAAAAATACAATTTTTTTACAAATATTTAAAAAAAAAAAAAGTATTAAATTTTAAAATACTTGTAAAAATACAAGTTTTATTACTTGTATTTATTATTGGGTGACATGGAAACACGAGCTGGCCTTTATGTTTGCCACTCCGCTTTGTGCGTTGCAGTTTTTGGACCCAGTTAGCTTCCTTCGGTACTTCAGCTTTATTTAGAGAGCGTGTGAGAAGCTGTTCAGCTACGATGTCTCTTGCTCTATCAGCCACATAGCCAGGAAGGTTTTCAGAAGACTGAATACATGTATATTTAAAAGCTGAAGGAGAAGGTCTTCTGTGGTAGAACCATGAACTGTAAATACATGACAGTGCTTTATCCTGAGCATGGCAGGGGAGAGGGAAGAGATGTTACAAAGCGTTTGCTATTATAAACTGGAAGGAATGGAGGCTTACAAGGAAATTTATGCAAACCTAGAAGAAAGTTTTTCTAATTGGCTCCCAGGATAAAAATAAGATCTAGCCCTAAAGGAAAAAAAGCAGAAAGTAGAAAATATGTGCTTACATTAATAGAATGAACATTCAGACGTCTCAGACATTATAGTCTTGATCAAACAAATGTTTTGGTAGCTTACAGACCATTTTTATAGATGAGTTGATTCACGCACTGTACAAGTGACTTGCTGCGACTCCTGGTTTTGATTTGAGCTCTCATGCAAAACACATCAACGATTTTAATTTAGGCTCTGCAGATAAAGCGACATTTCCCACTGCAGCCTACAGGCAACAAAAGCCTCAACAAATTTGACAGAAATAGCTGTGGAAAAAAAATTCTGTATGAGAATTTAATTTATCACACTGGCCTGAAGCTTATTACAGTCCAGTGGCTTCTGCAGGAAGCAACATTTAGATTCCTATTAAGCAACACCTGACATGCCACAGTTTTTGAGGAGCCAATTGTTGTGCAGGTTTAAAAAAAAAAAACAACCAAAACCAAACCCAAACCAAACCAAACCAATCAAAAAAGACTCACCAAAACCCAGCACTCACTCCTTTTCCCACTTGGGATTGCTTTTGCCATGCCTCCTTGACAAATGGCAGTTTTAGTCTCAGCACTACAACTAGCTTTTTCTTAGTTGAGTAAGAAACTATTTTAATTGAACAAGAGCCTGAAAACAAATCTGATTTACTTTTTTTTTTTCTTTTAAAGCTGATGACGCCTGCCCAGCAAGACATGTCACTGAATGCCCGTGCATTACCTTTCAGACAGTATCCTGGATTGCTGCACCTGGACAGCTGTGGTGACCTGTGTACTTTCACCACAGACGAAGATCAGCTAGCAGAGGGGAAGATCTAGAGAGCAGAGCATGAACGGCCTCGCAGTCTTACTGGCTTTGCCAGGGAAACTGTACTTTGAGCTGGTTTCTGTCTTTTTTTTTGAGCTGGTTTCTGCCTGTTTTTGAGCTGGTTTCTGTTTATTTCTCTGTAGAACACTTCTGTCAGGCATACGTGCTGCAAAGGAAGACACCCTCTGACAAGTGGGTGGAAGAGTGTGTTGATAATCTATTTTTTTAATACTCTCAAGCTCAGGCTCCCAAAGGGACGCTTGTTCTGCAGAGCCTATTAAGCAGATTGCAAGCTGGCCTTTATTGGGCCGCTCAGGTGCAACTAGTATGTTTGTGATACAGTACTTTCTTCTTGCATCTCTCTAGTCCTTACCACTTAGGAGGGATTTGCTTTTTTGACTCAGCTTGAAAGGGAGATGGCAGAATGGCTCTATGCCTTGGTTTACCAGGGTGAGGCAAGGACAGTTAATGCACGTGTGCACTTTCTGCCTCATTGGAGAACAGGGCCAGTGTCAGTGCCCATGTTCATCTGGTGTGTGTTACTGTAGCTCCACTGATTGATTGATTTACTTGGTTTTGCTGGCATATAGCATTTTACTTCCTATTAGAGGTGCTTGTTATGTGCCAGCTGACATCGATGCTGAAAGCATGTACACAGCCATCTCAGATCCTTTGCAGACGTGCAGGTGACTACCTAACATTTTGGCAATCTTAACCACTAGGCCACAGTCACCCGTGAACTGACATCCTCTGGCTAATAAAACAAATGTATATGCCAGTTGGCTCAAGCTGTTGACTGCAGATAGTCTGTTATGCTTGGTTCTATACGTATACTGCTAACGTGGAATACACTTAAGTATTTCCAGGGGTTGGGATCAGGCACACAAATTTTACTTGCAAGGCTAATTGTAGCCTTCTATGTCTCAGCAGGATGGCTAAATATTCCTGCTGCTATTTTAATGATACAGCTTCCTTAAAAAATGGCTGAACAGCTTTCCCACTGAAAACTAAAAAGCTTTAAAGTGACTTTTAATTAAGCTTGCTTAGAAGTTGGAACTATGCAGTATGACTTGACTCGCTAAAGATGGTAACTCGAATAAAACAATGCTATCTCTACACTGGAATTGGTGTTTTATTTTTCCTGTCTCGTAGAGGAAATTCATTAGGAATATTGAATCTGCTGGAGCACTGGCATATTGGTGCATTTTGCTCTCAGAAGTAAGAGCACAGCAAGTAAAAATTCAGGGGTTTTGTCTTAAAGAAAACTCCACAAGAACACAGTGCTTCGTTATGCTAGTATTTACCTCAGCTCTGTTACATATTTTGCAGTTCAATCACATTTAAAACTCCCAACTCTTCTTGTTACATGCATCATCTTAAGTGGGAGTTCTTTCAGATCTTCTGTATTAGCTTCCTTTTCCCAATTAGTCCTTGCCCTTCCAAAACTAGGTTGGAAAATCATGTGCACGCCATCAGTGCAAACTGTGCTTCCACAGCTCTTACCTTGCTGTTACACCCTAGATACAAACTCCCTGCAACCCTACCAGGAGGAAAGTCTGCAAAGGTCCCTGGGATCCAAGTCAGGATGTATGCTTGTGCCTCGGACGACTTGATCACAATTAAGTTAATTGCTCATTATCCCAGTGGAACGGGACTAACCTGAGCTAAAGTTATTGGCCTATGGACAGTGCTTCAAAAGGCAAGTACATACGTCAGGTAGCAGAAGAGAAAAAATTGGACTTCAGTAAAATATCTGCTCACCATAGCTCTTAATTTCTAATTGACCAGGCAATTACTAAAGGAGGAGCGCCACAATTATTTATAAAACCTATCAATCAAGTTATTACCCAGGTAAGCTGTTTCCTTAGTGACCTGCACAAAACATGACCTGTTTTTCAGTCTGTCATGCTTTAACAGACAGTAAGAGAAACAATGAGGCAAACAATGTTCTACCAGAGGAAAAGATTAAGACACTATTAGAACACTAACATTGCAAGTTTCAAAAAAAATGAGTTACCCATCTACCCAAACCATGTGGCGAGTTTCCACTTAATTATCTTGAGGCACTGAGAGACACCGTAGCATTGCCAGTTTCTTTTTCTTAGTCAGCATTAGAAGCTCAGCAAGAGCTTAATGTAAAGGACACTTAACCACGGTTAATGCTATCTCAACAAGTTTAAAACATGCAAAGATCTCAAGAGCTACAAGGTGTCTAGCGGCTAAGAGTTCCAGAGACAATGCAGCCCTTAGCAACAGGAGAGTTATTTTCATTTCCTAAAGTGTTTTTTTGTCCCTCAAGGAAAAGTTTATACAAATCTCTTTCATCAGAACCAGTCTCCCACCCTCAGCTGCTTTTTTTCTAACAAAAAAAAAAAAAATTACCAGCTTTATGAAATATCACACATTCAAAAGATAAACTTCTCATGCCTCTTCCCATTTGCAAATGCGGTCTCATTTCCCATCCAGGCGGCCTTCAGAACTAATGAAGAAGTTTCCCTTTAACAACAGTACTCTCTTAAACACAGATACCTTCACCACTCTTCCTCCATCTCTCACCTAGTGGAAAAGCCAACAGTTAAGAGCAAAGAGAATTTATCAGTGGGTGAGATGCTGCCCTCTTAAGTCCCAGACCTTCTCATTCTAAAACAGAGGGGCACAAAACTCTGTGCAATCTGTTACGCTGTCTCTCTTCCCACCACTGCCCATATCTGCTGAACTTCCATGGTGTTACTTGAAGACACCTTTCTGGAGGAGCAGCGTGCATATCTCACTCAGTGGGGAAATTCACAGGAGCCATGTGGAAGATATGGGGAAGATGCTGTATGCAATGGAAAAGGGAGGAAAGGCAGAGCCCATGCAGACTGTGACAGGGTAAATACAGTAGGAAGAGGTGTCAGTGGATAAGTGGTAAGTGGATGCTTATAGCAAGGATGAGCATAAAAGATGGACTTGAAGTAGAAAAAAAATTGCACCTGGTTTCAGTCTTCTTCTCCAACAGTCATTCCATGAGTCTTTCCCCTGTTCCCCCTGCTCCTATACACGCATGCAGACCATCAGCAATGACAGGGTGGTGGAGGCAAGCTACAAGCCTGTTAGGCAACTGCTTAGGATTCAGAGATATTTTCCTGACATTTTAGTTTACTCATCAGCAAAATCAGTGGGAAAAATTCTGGACAAAATTGCTGCTGTGAAAGCATGAGAATTAGCATAAATTATAGGCATGTTGCCTGGCTGAGCTGGAATATAAACATTTAAAATAGATACTAGGTTTCAAGTGAGGGGAGACTTCCAGGAGAGCAGTCACACCAGGTGGTCAGTGGCAGAGGACATGAGGGTATCCAAAACCAATGTACTGGAGAAGGAAAAAAAGAAGTCCCTTCTAGAGGGTTTTACAGAAAGAGAAGCAGTTAGGATTGACATTTACAGCAACAACCAACCTCTTTAAGAATGAACCGCACTCCCTTCCCATATCCACTGCAGTCACTTACTTTGCACTAGCTCTGAGGAGCATCTCTCTTAATTAACATGCTGTTAAAATTCTTTGGTTTCTTCAGAAGTGCTGCTGCCCTCCCTCAAAAAAGTCAGCATGCAGATTCACGGATAATGTTCTTTTATCCATAATTCTGTTTGCTATGTATACATATGCACCTTATTCCTCTACACCAAGCACCTCAATATCTAACAGTTTCTTTAACGAGCTATGACTATTAAATACAACTTATGACCTACAGTCACACTTCATTGTGGAAGCCAATGAAGTTGCTGTTCAGTTGTTGTCACATTGCTGAAAAGCCAGGAAGAAAATCTACCAGGACGCACATTCACAATCTGGGCATTTTATGTGCCAACCTTATTTGAAGTTACAAACCAGAAACACCTTCCTGGCTCTGAAGTTTGGTAACCTGTGCAGTTATGGGGTATGATTATGCACTGTTCTTGTGCAAGCAGCTGTCAGAAGCAGCATCAAAGAACCTTGCAGACTATCAGTACTATGGTTTAGATTAAAAGATCCAGTTGTAAAATGCCGACCTTCAGATACAAAAGCAGGCTTTCAGTAAAAATTGGTGTTCAGAGTTGTAAAACTATCCTTTATAAAAGAAGGTTGCTAATTTGCAAACTGTAATTAAAATATAAACTGTCTGAAAGAAGTGCTCTTTTGGCTCAGTGACCTTCTCATTTAATGGTAGGATGTCATTCTTGCCTTACTGACAGATCAAAGCTACGACTCCAAAGTGTATGTGTTTTGCACCAGGAGATGCTGGTTTGTTATCATCCCAGTAAGAAAGGCACATTTAAAATGCTATTTATTAGAGCTAATGCTATAAAGAAGGAGGATAGTATAGCTAATTTTATGTCCCTTCAGATGCTGGGAACCCCAAGTTGCGCAGCACCAAACAGGCCTATGATCAGGTTGCAGCAAGTTGCGCAGATCCCATCCACGCAAGGCTTACCCCATTCTGGTCATTTGAGCTACTGCAAGATTTTCTTAGAAGAAAACAACTCCAATCATCACTTCTACTGTCAAAACGAAAAGGATGTTCACATGAGAACCTCTAGGTGTATATCTAGACAAAGGCAAGGACACACACAAGTGGTGTCACCACCAGTTTCAAGCAAGGGCTGCCTGCACGCCACTCTCTTAAAAATCAACCAGCTGTGGCACGTTTTTGTTTCTGTAGTTTCAAAGTACTCATGACAACCTATGAAGCACAGAAAATCCTATGAAGCCTCACCCGAAGAAACATTCCTTTGTTAGCTTTTGCTGGTTGACTTTTAAATACCATCATGTTTTCACAATGAATCGGTCATTATACCAATATTTTTTAACATTAGCACAGGCAGTTCCAGGATTTATTTTAATGACAGGCATATTACAATTCTACTTTTTATTTACTCAAATGGTATTAGCTCTTTAAGAACAAACCATGCTGATGACCTTTGAAGAAAACAGCGGTTTCAGAAATGATAGTAAGTGGAAAGAACTTTCAGCAAGGCCTCATTTATGAAAAAAAGCTTATTTAAAGTTATTTAGACAATGAAATCATATTTCTGTCACATAAAAGGCACCTAG